GTTTCTAAGTACTTGGATACTTATTCTGTGTCTCTGTGATTACCTTCGGAGTAATTACTTTCTTTAACCCCCCCCTTCTTTATGTAGGATATGATGGTGAACACAGCTCAGTTCATGGCGCTCTATGCCTGGTATTCCTGGCCCAATGTGGTTCTTTGCTTCTTTGGAGGTTTTCTGATAGACAGAGTTTTTGGAATACGGTAAGTGTGATGTTAGCGTCACTCATGGTCAATGAATGGTAGACTTAAAGTGCATGTGAAGTATAGGCTTTATAATATAATGTTTTTTCAACTTGTAATAAGCTTTTTCAAATTTTTTTTCACATGATCTAGGAATTTCCACTGCTATAAATGAGCTTCCTTTCCTTTATGGCTTAAATAAAGTGGCTTCAACAATGCCAGTCTGTACTACCTTTTTTAAGGAAGCTGTCAAGCTGTAGCATTTATTACGGAGACCTTTTATTGCATATCAACCTCCCCTTGTTTCCTTGCTGTAGGTCTAATGTAGTGTTTTGTAGGAAAAAGATTCTAGCTATGCATTAAGTGATTTTATTTTTCTTACAGGTTGGGCACTATAATATTTAGTGTCTTTGTTTGTGTCGGGCAGGTAAGTGCAAACGAGAGCGTGAAGCATAATATGTGTCTGAAACTTCTCTACTAGGGGTGGGGAAAAAAGCCCAAATGGCTTCTTGCATAGTAGTGTGTGTTTCAGATGGGAGTGGGCAGGTGAAGAGAACTGAAATGGGAGAACGCTGAATTTTATTGGGGTAGTTGGGAACAGATGGGGCAACTGGTAACAGAGGACCTTGAAAGATGAGTGAAATAAAAATGTGAAGGAACCAAATGTTTTCTCCATTTAATGTGAAACTACTGTGTAGGTGTATTTGGATCGGGTATGATGATAAAGGTGAAGCATGACTTGAGCCTCGAGAGGTGTTTTCTGAGTGCAGTTTCAGGGTGGGCCAGGTTGGATATTGTGTAGCCAGCAGGATGATGAATAAGGCAGAGGGAGCAAAGGCAAAAAGCTAGGAGTAGGAAGTGGGTGTGAAGTATTTCTGCAGGTCTGGGAAGGGAAAAGCATTTTTGTTTCTCTTTTGAGATGGTTCTAGTTTGTTCCATACTTCAAATATAAAACTCTAACTTTTCCTTAAATGTTTATTTGGCAGGTAATTTTTGCTTTGGGAGCACTACTCAATACTTTCTGGATGATGGACATGGGCAGATTCATATTTGGGTAAGTTTAGAAGAGTATAGTATGTGCTCTGTGAGGTAAAGACCATCTTTCTGTGTCCTAGAAAACTGCTACCGTGTTTACATTCGGAGACAAAATTGTTGGATTTTGAGGTATCTATGAAGTTGAGGTATGCAAGATCTTCAGTCACATTCTCGGTCTAACTTAAAATTAGAAAGCAAAAAAATAGGACTTTGCAGGTTTTATTGAACTCAGAATTTATTAAACTACCCAAATAAAGAAATCAGTAAGCTGATAAAACTGTTAGTCCTCCTTTTCTCTTAAATCTTACTTTCCTGAGTAAAAGGAATTCTTAGCAACAGCAAATACAACAGGGTTCCTATGGTGGCAAAAAATGAGAGCAAATGTCAGAAGAAATACCTCCAAGTTGTAAATGTGCCACAGCATAAAAATGTTAGAAAATCTGACCAACTGTACTGGGGGGTGGGCAGATGACTCCATTGAATTCTGATTCCAGGTAAGATGCCTGCTTTTGGTTTCATTTGGGTCAGGATCTATACCACTTGGTTCTTTAATGCGGAAGAGAAATGAGAAGCTGTTTCCCATTGATTTAATTTCTGTAAATGATCGAAGGCAATTATAATCACTCCTAGACTACTTAAGATACCTTTTAATTATTCTTAAGACACTGCAGTTCTCCTTTGAATTGTCTTTAAGACTTCTATTGCCTTGTATATATTCATTAGATCTACCTATACGCAGATACATTTCTCTGAACTACTGTCCTCTTGGTATTGCCAGCAACTGATGGACTGCTTCCTTGTTGCTTTGCATGTTGCAATTAACGTGTTTTCTTTTGTGCCTTCCTTCTTTTTTAGAATAGGTGGAGAGTCCTTAGCGGTGGCACAAAACACATACGCAGTCAGTTGGTTTAAAGGCAAGGAGTTAAATCTTGTGTTTGGATTACAACTAAGCATGGCCAGAATTGTAAGTGTAAAACTGTATAGCTTTAATTCATAGACTTTAAGGTGTGTGGCTTGCCTTGGCAATGAGACAGGTGGAAAACAGCATTTCTAATGCTCCCTAGGGTGTTTTAGTTAAAAATGGATGCGAAATTCAAATTTAAAATGTTAAAAATTTGTGGTAAATAGGCAAAGGATACACAAGGAAATGAGTTAAGATTTCTTAGAACGTGTCAAACTACTAAAGAAGCCTGGTGATGTTATTAGTGTAGATTACTGGGTGGGACAGTCACAGTGCTGCATTTCATCAGACTAATTGATTCTTGGCATGTCGTAAAATGTTGGCTTAACTGAGTGTAGCTTGTGGTTTGGGGACTAAGTGCAGGCTCTGATGAATGAGTTGGGATGGCTGCTTTAAGAAACTCCTATCCTTATCTGCTATTGTAAGATATTTTTGTCCCTGTTACTGGTTCTGATAGGAACTGTGACTGCATCTCAGCTGTGCCGTTTTGGTTTGAGATAATCACTTAAACTGCTGCTAGAGGTGGGTTTATGCTAACACACCAGTCTGTGAATGAAGAGAGTGGAGACGTGCCTCTCCAGTTAGGGGTCCTCTTCAGCAGCCTGTGATATCTTACACCACTGCAGGTATTTACCTTGGTAAAAGAGAGTTAGTTAGTCACAGCTGGGCCTGGGTTGATGTTCATGCTGTTGCTGATTAGTGGTTGCCTCATCTCAGCTGAACTGTAAAACTGTCTGTTGTTAGCCTTGGGATTGCAGCCATGGATCCCTTCTCTAGGGGAAGAAGGGGGAAAAAAAAGTGCTTCTTCCTGATGCCTCCCAGGTGGGAATCCTGTTTGCTTTAACATGTGGTATTAAATTCAACTCAGTTTATGAGCCAATGCAGTGTATGATTGTAGGTTTTATGGCACTTCTAATGTCTCCATTTAAACACTGTTAGAGTTGTATAAAATTTCAGTTTGTGACAGTATATTATTGCTGCAATGGTTAACTTATTACAAACACTGACCAAAGGAGCAGGGAATAATTTTCTCATTGTTGCTGGTGGTTTATGTTCCCTGTGTAGCATCTTACCTGTTTGTTTTAAACACTGTTCAATAAGCAGTCTGCCTAATGTTCCTTTTGAATTCATATAATTGTGAAATGTTATTCTTCACGAGTCTGTTCTGCCTAGGGGAGCACAGTGAACATGAATATCATGGGATGGATATACTCTAGAGTTCGAGATCTTCTGGGGTATACTGGTCCCAGTACTCTTGGGTTAACTCTCATGATAGGTCAGTAATATTTTGAATTGATGTCACCTGCTATTTTAGGATTCTGAATTTGAACAGCATGCATACATGTTAATGACTTCTTAGTAACTCAAAAGTAGGACAAATATATTTGAGACTAGGAAGAGCAATTCAAATACTGTTTGTATCAATAATATTCTTATGCAGAGTGTATGATTACTGCATCTGATAAAATGTTATGTGATTTTTGTGGTTGCCAAATTCAAGTTTGTGTCTTATGGAGATGAAACATTTAAGATGCTTTGAGTAAAGGACAAACTTGAAGAATTTTCTGAAAGGTATCATGTCAAAGCTTGTGTGTAGTTGTCTGATGTGTAAAAGTGAAATTTCAACTACCTTTGGATCTGTGTTCCTTTCCTTCAGAGCCATGGGTGTTGGTAACAAGGCCCAGGCTTGGTTTCTGTTATTACAAGGTACAGTTAAGGAGCTTGGCTGTGCTGAGTGGGAGGGGTAGTAATGTTTTAAATAAATGTAGGTACATGTAGCTACTCTAGTTCAAGGCAGATGTGTCTCATGCCGCAGGCTTCACTATTTACACCTTACTCTTGAGTTGTACAGCTATTGAGTCTTATACCTAAGACAAGCTGGTGTTAAACTTAGTTTGTATTAGATATGTAAAGGTATGCTACACTAGTTGTGCTTAAAAGCCAAATTACTGCTTGAGTCAACAATTAAACATGTCGCATTGCCTTCTTGCAGGTGGCGTAACATGTCTCTTTTCACTGACCTGTGCATTAATCCTTGCTTATCTGGACAAGAGAGCAGAGAAGCTCCTTTGTAAAGAGCAAGGGAAAACGGGTGAGTGGTGTGGGCGGTGTGGCTGAACCTGCCTTGGGCTTCGTTCTTTCATTCTGGAACAGACCCTTCCAGTTACTCTGTGCACTGTGCAGGTTTGCATTTTATGTAATCCAGTGGCTGCTGCTTAACATCTTTTTCACAGTTATAGCTGTAATCATAATTTTTAGTTCATTTTTATCAGTAGGAAGTTTTGCAGTTTTAAACATCTGTTTACAGGCAGATGCACCGTCATCTGCTTTATTTATAAAGCATGTGGAGAGCCTTCCAGTTCACACTAATTTGATCGGTGCCATTGCCACTGGTATATTGTTTTGTTGGAATTGGTCTTATTTCCTTTAATAGGTGTGCAAAACATGCAGCTCTTCTCCATCAATGTGTGGTGTTTTGAGTTTTCTGTGTGGGAGAACTTAGACCAATTAAAAATAAACTAAATGTGATATCCAAGTAAGAGCATGTAACATGAGGCTTCAGACATGAATTTTACTAGCTGATTAAACATTTCCTTGAAAAAGTGGTTTGTATTTAATCCTCCTGCGTAAGACTTTCAGAAGCTTTAGAGAACTTGTACATCCAGCTTAATGTAGGAGAGACAATTTGTTCTTGACTTCAGCACTGTTGATTTAGGACTTGTATATTCTTAACCGACTCTTGCTGTGTAAACTTTAAACAAGAGAGTAGATAGTGGCAGTAATATATGCTTTAGTAGTGACTTGTGATCACCTTAATGTTTGTTCAGTGTGGATGAATTTCAGATATGCTTATGCTGACTGAAACAATATTGTCTCTTGCCCCACTCCAGGTGAAGTGATTAAGCTAACTGATGTGAAGGACTTCTCTTTGTCCTTGTGGCTTATATTTGTAATCTGTGTCTGTTACTATGCAGCGATTTTTCCTTTCATTGGACTTGGAAAGTAAGTCTCTCACTTATGTAGCTATTCCCCTTGAATTTGGCTAACATTTAAATTAGCTACTTACAAAGGGAGAGGTTCAGGCTAATATTTAAGAATCTCAGATGGCTACAGAACCACTGGTCTCCCAGCAAGTCTGTGCTGTGGGTTGTCATTTCTTCTGTGGCATTGTTTGCTATACTTGTGGTACAAATTAACACAACTCCTACTTTCCTTATCTGCTGAGCTTTGTGGGAAATACCATTGCTTAACATAGGCTGAGTTGTTAGAACTCAAAAGCATAATGCATGCTCCATTTCCTGATTAAAACTTGATACAGATTTAAAGCACGGTGTGAGTTTCGGTGTGGAAAACTGTGGACAGCTGTCATGTAGAATTCCTTCCATACTCATAAACTATTGACTGAGTGTGAGGTGGGGGCTTAAATGTAGTTACAACTTTGGACTGAAGTTCTCTTACTGTGCTGACTTTGGTATATATTGTTTCAACTTGAAGCATTCATATGTAGGTTTCCCTTTTGAACCACGTGGCTTCAGTCAAATGGGTTTTGAATATACTTGGGATTAGAAACAGATCTCTTGAGCTCAATGCCTGTTTTGTGTTGAGTGAGATGGAAAAGTCTGAGATGACTTGGAGAGGCCTTACAATCAGCAATGTAGATGCCTATTTTTTGCTTGTGCATGTATTCTAAACGTTCTCACTTTGGTCTTTTACAGTATGCTCATTGCTAATGTCTCAGTATTGGATTACATGTTGGTTATGTACTTGGGCTGTTTTCCCCAAAGTGTAATTTGAATAGTCCTTAGGCAAAAATTTGCAGAGCCTGATAATAAGCTCCTAAATGCATTATAAATGAGGATCTGATGGGATGTTTGTCAAACCTATATAGCTGTATTTAAAAGTTTCCTGTAAACTAGGTTGTTGTGTCTTTACTTTGTCTAGCTTAATTTTTCTTTCAAGTCATACAAGTGTGCATTTTTCTAAATCTTTTTTTTTAGGGTTTTCTTTATTGAGAAATTCAAATTCTCATCTGAAGAAGCAAGTGCAATTAACAGGTATATTGTGGTTGATTTAACAAGTGCTACTTGTTAAAGGTGCTACTTGTTAAATGTTGATTTAACAATGTGCTACTGCTGTGTTCTAGGGGGTGTATGTATCTTTGGGCTTTCACCATGTGGGAGGAAGTTTGGGATCATAGAATCATAGAATCATTAAGGTTGGAAGAGACCTCCAAGATCATCGAGTCCAACCATCAACCCAACAACACCATGCCCACTAAACCATGTCCCTAAGTGCCTCATCTACCTGTCTTTTAAATACTTCCAGGGATGGTGACTCAACCACTTCCCTGGGCAGCCTGTTCCAATGTTTAACTACTCTTTCAGTAAAGAAATTTTTCCTCACATCCAATCTAAACCTCCCCTGGCACAACTTGAGGCCATTTCCTCTCGTCCTTTCGCCAGTTACTTGGGAGAAGAGACCAACACCCACCTCGCTACAACCTCCTTTCAGGTAGTTGTAGAGAGTGATGAGGTCTCCCCTCAGCCTCTTTTTCTCCAGGCTAAACAACCCCAGTTCCCTCAGCTGCTCCTCATAAGCCTTGTTCTCCAGACCCCTCACCAGACCTCGGATCTACTGTTGCAAGTGGTGACTTGCATTTAAGTGGACAGATAGATTTCACATGGCCCAAGGAATAATTGGGAGGTGTGGGTATTTTTTTAAATAAAAATGTTTTAGATGCTCACATTGAGGAATCAGACAGAAAAGGCTCTATCTGAAGGGTATTATTTTGGTATTTGGTGATTCCCTTCTGAGTGATAGAAATAGTTTAATAGCGGCACTAAGTTAACTAAATTTTCCTAGTTTGAAGATGAATTTGTGATGTGGCAAAAAAACAAACAAAAAAACCCACCACCACTAAAACACTTGGTGGTATATGATTCCAAGAGCTCAGAGTATGTCACCACTTCCTTGGATGTTGAATGTTTTCGTGTCCTCAGACCTTTTGGGAATTTTGAGTTCTGGAGGGTTTTTTTGTGTGGTTTTTCTTATGGCCTCACAGGTAACGAGGGAATATGGTGTTTTGTCTGGAGGCACTTGTATTGTGTAACACCTAAAGCTGCCCATGGCTAGCTGGTGTTCAGTTCTCTTATTTTTATTCTTTTGTAGTATTGTGTATATCATATCGGCATCCATGTCCCCAGTCTTTGGACTCCTGGTGGATAAACTTGGAAAGAATATCATCTGGGTTTTATGTGCTGTAATAACTACACTTGCTTCTCATATTATGTTGGCTTTTACCTTCTGGAACCCCTGGATAGCAATGGTAACTAATTCTCTGAGACTTATAGCTAAATATGATAAAGTAAGAAATAGAGTTGACGATGAATTACTCTGCATAAGTTGCCACTGTGTTCTGACTGTTTAGGTAGTCCTCAAAACCTATTTTGATATCCCTGACTTTAAGAAGGATATACTATATGAAACTGAGTTTAAAACTAAAGATGGTGAAAAAGCCAAGAATGCATAATGCAGGCAAAACTAACGTGAGCTATCTGCAGTTTAAAGATAACACTTCAGGCTTTGGTGTTTCGTGAAGGGAGACAGTAGTTATGCGTGTGTGTTTTGAGGTGGAGAAGATTGACTGCTGTCTGTAGCAGTAATTCTATAGTTGTTTAGTGTAAAAGGGTGTTCAGCTTCTTAGGAAGTATGGGATCAGACCAGAGGGCTGGATGGAGTAGCAATTCCCTATCCCTTCAGAGAAGGCCTTAATTCATTGCAGTATACACAGTTCAGTGGTGCTCTGTTGCAGAGGTCTGCTCTCATGCTTCATGGACACTCCTTACACTGGCTATTACTAGATTACTGTGCTAGGTGCTTGCTTTTCTCCTAAAACTTGTTCTTTTGGTGTAGTTCTGAAGCTTATTACTATCGTATAATTTAAACCACTTTCAATGATTTTAAACTGTCTCTAATGTGCTGTATTGGATAGTGGTAAACCTCAATAAAAATCTTTGTTATTGATTTCCCCTTCCTAGGGCAGATTTCCTGAGAAATTGGTTTTGAACTAAGGTTTACAGGCTTAAATGTGGTGCTCACCAGTATATCAGGGTTAAAAACAGGGTCCTTGTTTTTCAGGTATTTTTCTAGTGAGTTGCAGCATTGATCTTTTCCTCTGGGTATTCATTTCAGGCTCTTTACTTAATGCTAATTAAATAGGGTTTAGGTTGTGGGTCACTCCTGGAAAAAGTTCTCCCTCCTTCTAGATGTGCATATTTATTTAGAACAGTATTGCAGAAAGTGTTGCTTGAGCTCTTTTTTTTCCTCTTTTGGGAGAAGAGGAAAACCAATATGTTCATTTATTAGAACTTTACAGCAAAAATGTGGTTTTTATCTAACATCTGTTTACTTGTTCTTATTTATTTCACCAGTGTTTGCTAGGAGTGGCCTACTCATTGCTTGCCTGTGCCCTGTGGCCCATGGTGGCCTTTGTTGTTCCAGAACACCAGCTGGGAACTGCTTATGGCTTGTAAGTACTTAGATCTGTCTGCTTATGCTGCTCTATAGTGACCATGTCCTGATACTTTTGAACTACTGAATATCAAGCAGTTCTAACACGTTAATGGTTAATAATTCCTCCAAGTTCAGTCTAGCAGGAAGTCTCATGTAGTTTCAGGATGTACATGTGTGGTAGAGCACATGGTTGTGGTAGATGCACAGAAACTGCTGCAAAAATGTGGAGTCTTGACTATCATATGTTGTAACAAATGGGGAGAAGTTAATCTCATTGTTCCGTGCCACTAATGATGTTTTCATTAAAAATAAATTTCTACACAGTGGTAATCCTTTGTTTATATGTTAGTATGCAGTCTATCCAGAATCTCGGTCTGGCAATTATTGCTATAGCAGCTGGGATGATTCTGGACACAAAAGGATACTTGTTTCTTGAAGTCTTCTTCAGTGCCTGTGTTTGCTGTAAGTATTAAAAACATTGAAAATGGATTCTGTACATTCAGGAAGTTTTATTAGGCTTTTTTCTTAATATTTCCTGTAAAACAGTAATAACTTTTCTTATAGTTAGAGGTTTCAACTGGGACAATGTTGAAAGTAACTCAAACCTAGTGAAGTGTTTTGTGGTTTTCTTGAAGGGCTTTAGTGTGAGTAGTTTCAGTGTTTCAGAAAAAGAATGAAGAGTGAGTAAAAGGGTAGGTGAATGATACTCTTGAAGGCTATGTTTATGAAGGTTGTTATTAATATAACTAGAACTAAAATAACCTTTTCTGAATTAGCATGCTGCTTATGAGCATAGTGGAGTTTTCAAAAGCAATGAAGAGATGCTGCTGACAAAAATGTCCCCTCAGTTACGACTATCATGAAAAATCTTAGTTGTTGCTTGGTTGTATGTTAAAGCTGTTCTTCTGTCATTGTTGTAAATTTATTGTCAGCTAAAACTGTTCCCTTTTTTTTAGTGTCACTAATAGCTGTAGTCATGCTGTATTTTGTGAATCACCTCACAGGTAAGTAAGTGTTTTCAGCTTCTCTTGATATTTGTTTCTATCATAATTCTTGAAGTTATCAAGCTGAACTGTTTACAGGTGGTGTTGTACAGTCCTGTCAGGTGCTATAGCTCATGGCTTTGGTACCAGGAGCATCTCTTGATGAGGCCTGTCCTTGTAACATCATCTTTGTAGATGCCGTGGTGTATAATTCCCTGAGCTTTGCCATGATGTTAAATCTCATCAGCAGGGCAGTGGTACCTATCCCTTCAGCTGACTTGAACAAATGTGTAGGATATTCTGTATCTCTTTCTAAACTGCGTATCAAACTTGACTGTATATGTATCTGCAAATACAAAAACTTAATCTGTAGACTTTCCTTCAAATAGCAGTGTTCTTTCTCAGTTGTTTTTTTGAAGCAGTAATTACTGAAAGATCTGGAAGGGGTATTAACCTGTTTCTTTCAAAGTTGCTTCCTCTTTCTTTAGTTTTATGGGGTGTTATAGTGAGTGGTAGAGAAACATCATTGTTACTCAATAGAAAACTGGATCAGGCTTGAGAGCTTAGTTTGGGCCCTGATTTTGGTTGCTCAGATGGTTATGAACACATTGCTTTTTACCTCAGTTTTTACTTTTACAAAATTACTCCATTGATTTCTTTTGTCAAGGGCTCTGAGAACTTCTGTAGTGAGGTATGATATCAAAGATATAATACAAAACCACCAATTTTGAAAGTTTCAAAGTGTATATTACTTCTATTGCAGGTGGTGATCTCAACTGGTCTGCAAAGAAAAGGGAAAAATTGCAAAAAGTAGCTGCAACTGAGTAAGTATAAAGAACAATAAGAACAGTGTCCTTATGAAATGTTTAACCTGAAGTAATTAAGTAGATTACTGTCTGAAGTCAGTGTCTTTTGTAGGTCTGTCATTTGTATTGAATGTTATCTTCTTTCTTACCAGTTAGTAGTAGGATTTCATATTCCTGCCTCCTGTGAATGAATAATTAGAGGAAGTAGCAATTAACCAGGTGTCCTTTCCTGGCACTCTTCCTTGCCATTTTTCTTCATTTCAGTGGCCTTCCAACTGAGTGGAACTGAAGTGTGTTTAAAAAATGTTGTATTGCTTATTTAAAAATGCGCTTCATTTATATGGTGTGTACCTGACCCAGTCAGTGGGAAATGTTACCTGGGTTTAATGTCAGGTAATGCATAGACCAATTTTTTTAAAGTGTCATTAAAAGCTAGAACTCTCTTCAGAAGAAACTGCACTCCAGTCACTTCCCCTTCAGTTTCAGCTTGCTCCTCTTGCTATCTTATTTAGAAGTCTTAAATCAACCTGTCTCTGAAAACCATGGCTTGAGTCTAAATTCCAGCGCTAATGTGAAACTCAGTTTGTGGTCAGATCTGTGTCATAAATGTTACTGATTACAGTGAAAAGTTGCCATTTTTAGAAAGAAAACGGGGCAGGGGTATTTCAGTAAAGTGGAATCCACTTCCTTTAAAAGGCAATGGATTATGTGAGGTGGGCTTAGGGCAGAAATTGTTGAAATAAGCAAGTTTTGACAGTTCATGCAATTAAGCAAACTTCATTCTGTGGGAGACTTGCATGTCCTGCTTTCCTCTCTACAGAAAATAAGGACAGTGACACTCTTCAGAATAGTAACTTAAAAAATTCTCTTCCTTGGTCTTCACAAAACATTGGTGACATGTTAAGGGTCCATTGCTGTGCATAGCCCTAACAGCTGGAATCGGGTAGTCTTGCTTTTTAAGAGTGTTGTTTGAGCAAACATGAAGGTATTGGTCACCTTCTGTTGGGATATCCCCTGAGTTCTAGGGCACTGGATTTATTCCCTTTGCACAGTGGAAAGTTTACTTGCTTTCTTGTTTGCTATCTGAGAATCCTAAATGAGGGGTAAAGCTCTCAGTGGATATGGAATGCTGTACAAGGGAGTGAAGCACTGGGTTAGTCTTACAACTTCCAAAATAATTGCCTTGTATTGGGGAAAGAGGAGAGAAAAAAGCATTATATGGCGAAGTCCATTAAGAGATGTCACCTTAAAGGCAAAACAAAAGACCCTTCCACTCCAACTTCTCCATTATCTACTTAATTGTCTAGAAAAACTGCTTTTTTTTTAAGTAGACATAATGTAAAGTCTGTCCATCAGACTGAGTTTGGGCAGCTTAGTTTCTGTCCTGATGACCTTGTTGAAGATGCTTCTTCTAGTAGTGTCGTAGCACCCAAAAATTCTGTTACCTTTTCCTAGTTCTAATGAGTGCTGTGAGGATTAAAAACAAGTGCATTGGAAAATGTAATGTCAATGGGGATGAAGTCTTGGTTAATTTATTGATTTTTTTTTAAATGTATTTAAAACAAATATTTAATTTGCTTAAGGGTAGAACCAAGTCTAAGAAATCTGAGGTTCTGCTCTTCTGATTTGAATTTGATTTGAATGTGATTGAGAACTGTTGGAGAGGGCACAGTATATGCATTTTGTGACTCTAGTCATAGTTTAACATTTGTCATGTGAAAGAGTAATTCAATATGCAGCTATGTCACAGCTTTCAAGACATCTGTAGAATTCAAGCTGCTTGTATGTGAACAACACAGAATTTTTTTTCTTTTGAAATGCTTTCTGTTCTGACCTAATTCAGCTCAGTGAGTCTCTTCAGATTTTAAAGTTTATTTGCCTGTGATGTTGTTGGAATTCTTTACTTTTTAATAGGTAACTACACTTCACCTGCAGATATTGTACACCTCACAGCTTATATATAAATTTGTTCCAGATAAATACTTTGCTAACAAGACATCTCTTATAAATGGACTTTATGGATTTCTCAAAAACTAAACTTGTAACTGTCCATATGGTGATACTTATGTTAGTTTCGAGAAAAACAAAAACACCTGTCAACAAGGTCTAGCCAGGTGACTTCTGGTGGAGTGCAACATGGTTTTGATTCTTGTCCTAATCTGTGGGCTTGTTACACATCAGGAAAGCTCAAGGAAACCAAAACCTCACCAGACCCGGTGAGCATGATAGCTTAGTTGTGATGAGTATCATCCTTGAGCCAAAAGGTCACAGCCAGTTTTTAATAGAAATGCAACAAAAAACACATTGTACCCAGGAGCAAAGGAATTCTGTGTCCAAATAAGACTGCTTTTCAGTCTGCCTGGCCCATGTGGGATGTGTGTAACACTTCCAGTATTTACTGTAAAAGATGGCTTTATATTAGTGTGTGCTGTGGGATATAGTGTCTTAGAACAATATTTTCAGTAATTTTTATTACAATGTTTTTTGCAGAAAAGAAATTTGAATAGCAAATATCATCCAGAAGTGGGGAGCATTTGATCAGCATCATGTCAACTTGAAGAATTATAGTGGTGTTTAGTTTGGTGGTCAGCACTGGACAGTAGTTCTTTGGAAAAGAAACTAACATGCTGGAGATTTTACAGTAAATGGCTAAATTTTATGCTTTGTAACCAGTATTAACTAACGCCAAATCATCTCTTAGTTGGAACACAATGGGTTTACAGCGTTTTACACTGTTTAAGGTCTGTCATTGGAGAGGGTACTCTGCAACCCAAGACAAACACGTTCATCTTAGAAGACACTTAATACTAGTCTTTATCTTATGTGCAGCACTACCATTTTCGTGGGTGTGGAGATTTTTTAACATAATGGCATTTTATGTTCTGTAATAAGGTTCATTGCCTTACAGAGCTTAGAAACGGGTCACTTAACTACCTTTGTCACTGTCTTAATGCAAACCACTGTCTTAAGCTAAGTGTGTTTAGAGCTCTGTTCGGTCCTCTTTCTCTTTAAGACTTACGTGGAAAATGAGCAACAATGCCCTGGTCAAATATTGACTCTTTTGTAGGAGACTGCTATTAATTCTGAAGACTGCTGAGCAGTCTTTTATTTGCATTTTTGACAATTGATTCTTTTTGTATTGTAATCTTTATTTTAAGGAGTGAAAGCTTGTTTAATAAAGAGAGTAAAAATTATTACAAAAGCTCACTGAGCATGTTGTAATCTGTGAAAACCAAAAGGTTTATCTTTCTACTGAAGTCTTGCAATCTAAATAAAAGGAAACTGCAGAAACCAGCTTCTTTCTTTCTTTACACTGAGTAATCCATACGCATCTCTTAGTCTCTTCTAATCTGATATCCAGTATTCATCTATAAACACTACAAGCTTTTTCTGATTATTAAAAATAGCACTGCATACAGAAGATAAAGTTGCTTGGGTTTGCACTCCTCAGTGCAAATATCTTAAACCAATTTTCTTTTCCAGAGTGGAAGAACAAGAGAGACTCAGACGTCAAAATGAAGATGACTTGGCTAAATTACGGCCAAAAGCTGATGACTTCAGTTTAAGGAATAAATACCTCTCCAAACTAGGTGCTCAGATGTTAGTAACAAAGTAGGGGTTTTCATAATGAAGAATAGAACAATGAGATGTTTATTTTAAGAACTTGGCTTATTGTTTCAAATAGCCAGCAAATCAACCTCTGATTAAAATGCTAAATGCATGCTTGTTCTCAGAAATGAAGTCTCACCAATGGTAATTAAAAATCTAATGAAGAAAACTAATCAATGTCTGGCGGACCAAATAAGTCGAGGAGCAGGCTTATTATGATGCATAATTCTTTTTATTTTTTTGCAGCTACCAGATAATTACTTTTCCTATTTATCGACAATGGTACACAGAAGTGTGTTGAAACAGCATCTTGCCCCACTTGCAAAAGCGGCTATATGTTGAAGTTCCTGGTACACAAAACTTTGTTTCCAAGTACTGACAACTACCGCAGCAAAAGCAGAGTGATGCACCATACTTTTCTGCAAGCATAGATCCTGTTTTTAAAATACTTGGCTTAAGCTCCCCCTCCGCACTGTGGGTAAATAACACAGATATCAATGAAGGACCATCTGGCTGTTTATTTGAAGCCATGAGCTATGTACTACACCCTCCTGTCTAAAATACTTAGTGAGTGGCTTGAGTCGATAGCGAAGACTTGATCTCTTCAACAATATCTGAAATGTGAAAGCTTTGTTTCAGTAATCAAACTGCTGTGAAATGAGCCTTGATATGTAGGTATGGGTTATTTAGCCTCTCAAGTTGGACAACTTGGTTACTGTGTTGGAAATGGTCTGTTTCATTTTTCTTATGGAAAAATGTAAGGAAGGACTACCTTTTTACTTCGGTCCAAGCAAATATTTCAGAGGAAACCAAACTATACAATTTCAGTGTTACAGTTCAAAAAGTGCTAGCCCTGGAATTTAATACCAGGTCACAGGCCTAGCAATAAACCTCATGTAAGTCCTGATTAATGTGAAAATTGATGTATTTTTAAGAGGTTGTGACTAAAAATGATGAAGAGTTAAATGCAAGAACTGAAGCTTGGCATTCAGTGGAAAAATGTTCAGTTTCGTAATGAAACTTAACGCTTTCCCATAATTTCTGTGGAAGACTTGTTGCTGAATAGGTAGTTCCTACTAACTCCTGCAGAGTACATTTTTCTTTGTTTTTGTTACTTATAAAGGCTTACTCATGTAATTGGACAAACTATTCCTAAACTAAGCTAATCTTACTTTAAAAGGCAAGAGCATCTGGCTTTCTGGAGCACTAGGTACACCAAACGAAGAGCTTTGCTATACAGGAGCACAGGGGTGAGTGAGCTTTCCTTGGCTGACTTCAGGACTCCTTATGTGCCACAAAATGCATAAGAGCCTTTGATGAATTGCTTGACTGCAGAGAAAGTAATTTGTTGTAATAAAAATGTTACATTATACCTGTAATATTTTTTTGCTTACAGTAATTTAAGCAGACCTTCTGGAACTCATAGTCTTAAGGTGTGTTTTTTTTTTTTTAAAGATACTTTTCAGTGGAGATTTCTTTCATGTTCCTGAAAGACTAAGCCAGGACTATTTTGGTTAATAGTTCTGTATTCTGAAGAACAATCTAGGAAAATAAAGTAGCAGGTTGTGAACTATGCTGAGCTTGCTGCCAAAGGGGAGTAGTACACTGACCTGTGATAATTTTTATTGGTGCTTTCTGTGCTCCCTTTGAGAACCAAGCACTATCAGCTCTGAGACTGGTTGATGCAAGTTGGTTTGTTTTTCCTTGTAGACTTGTGAATTCTGGGTCTTTTTTAATAAAAGCTTTAAATGGATGCTGGCACCTGTATTTTTCTTACCTGTTTCGTGATGTGTTGTTGCCCTTGGTGGTTGTTGAGACTTATATATGCTTTTTTTTTCTTTTTAAATGAGCATGACTTCTGCTTTCCCCTGAGAAATATGTAGAGTTTCTGGGGAAGTGTATCTTTGAGGATCCAAAGGCAAAGTTTCCCCCAGTTGCCCCCACTGATGGGTTGATGCATTTTTTTTTTTCTTGGGGAGAGAGGGAATTAGATTCTTGTTTTTCTATTGCTCTTCTTCATCTCCTTCAGCTACCTGCTTCTCCTCTAATTCTGACGTGTTACAGTTGTAGATAACTCTTTCGCTGTTACCCGTACATTGGCATTTTGCATGTGACATGACAGACAATAACTGTGAACTTAATGTTTTGTTGAAACTTTATTTTCAGTTCCTAAATTCTCTGTACCCTTGAGCATCTTGCTAAAGTACTGTGGTGGACTTCTGCAAGTGGTGTAACTTCCCCTATCAGCTCAACTTCAAATGCCCTCGCCCTTCCTTTCTGAGGGATTTCAGCCCATTGATTTCCTTTTACCTTGCTTTTTCAGTTGTGGATGTGGAGCATGGGAGCCATCTGGCTGTTGTTCCCTTATCCCCGATTCCTCTAATAAATTTCTGGTAGGATGGAGCCTTCCTCTTTCTATTGCCAGCCTTTTTGCTTCCATCCCAGCGTTAGAAAGTCGTGACGCTGTGTTTGTGCTTCAGACTTTCAATGCATACTTCATAGTTTCGGGTTGATCATCAAGAGGAAAAGGGATTTTTGAATTCGGAAATTGAGTTTGGTTTTGATAGAAAAAATCTGGTTGTGATCATTGTGGGAGGGATAAGGCCAGCAGCTACAGCAGCGAGTGGGCTGCCTGTCTTGGCTAGGGGAGGGACTGTTCGAGCATGAGCTGCTGGAGTGTTACTTGGCAATGTCTGCACGACTCCCGTTTGCAATGAATTTGGAATGGCTTGAGCTGAAAGCTGCTTATCTTTATAAGACTGTCTTTTTTCCCCTGCAAAACTTCCCTCAACAGCTTCTACACCCACCAGCCTGAGAAGCTGTTTGTACAGTATGGCTTTTCTGACTTTTTTTTTTTAAATACAGAGTTTATAGGTTGGGCTCTGCTTCTGGACTGCAGTGGTCTGACTAAATTCTGCTAGTGGATATGAACACTTGTCTGGAGACGTTTATAGAATAGTTAGTAAATATGGTAGTAAATAGTAGTTCAACACAGTATTTTATTAAAATCTGGAGAAATTTCAGAGGGAGGTGTAACTTATGAAGAATATAAATGGTGTTACCTATCTCTCTGCTATTACTTCTGCTGCTCACACAGGGTACCCCCAAGCATGGGGGACTCCCAGAGCTGCTGTGGCTTTTGGGTGGTTCTGTTCCTTTCCATTGGGTGTGGCATGTTTTTCTTTCTCTTTTGATATGTCTTTTCTTCAGGGGCTGTCGCTGGATGTTTCAATAGGCTTTCTCATTTCAAAAATTGGTTAATATTCTATTGCATATCTTACCACTGTAGGTGCTCTCTTACTGCTTCTCCTGTTGTGCAGATGGTCAAGCAAAGAGGCAAAGCAGAGCTGCTCAAATGAACTGCATCTCTGAGTAACATGAAAATCTTTATTCCTCATATGTTCACACTGTGTTCTGTTGGATGGGGCAGATGTGCATTGGTGTGAATGGGAAGCCAGAAAGCCCTAGACTTAAGTACACACGGTGTGCTCTTTCACGCAGACCTCTTCAAAAGGAAACGTTTAAAGCACAGAAATACTCTGTAAATATTTAAACTTGCCATGCATATGAATCATGAAATATCTCTTCCAAGCATTCAGTAGTGGAGTAGCTGCCTGAGTGACACTGCAGTGCTTCAGATCTTGTGTTGTTCTCCAAGCATGCAAATGTTTTTGCACATTTGAGATTTTTTCATAAATACCGGTCACTAAGAACAACAGAAGCATTTGTGCCATAAAGATAGTACTTATGAACAAGCTTCTTATCCTCTAGGACCTTGAAAGTTTTATAACAGCAACAGTAGTGAACTCTTCTTCATCCTGAACCTCCCAAGGAGCCTGTCTTTGAGATGGCACTAGAGCGAGACGGCAGGAATGGTTTTGTTTGTCATTACCCATGAGGAACTGTGCCGAAACCAGCTTGTGTGGCCTGCTAAACAGCTGTCAGAAGTGGTGGATTTCAGTTGTTACCAACTTCAGTTGAATTTGAATCAACAGATTAGAAATTCAAGTTGCTCTGTCTCATTGCCAAGCCTCCATCTGCTGAATGTTAGAGAAAGAAATAGAAGCAGCCTTGGCTGACTGGGTGGCTAATCTGGATTACCTGGTTGAGTTTGCCCGTGTTACTGTAGTTACACCAACTGTGCTCAGATGGGGAGAAAGCAAATGCACTTCTGCCCAGAGTTCCAATGGAGGTGATCTGGAACATCTGAAATAAAGGTTTTGAATTTTTTTTTTATTTAAATAAGGAGAAAGTGTTTGTAAAATAAGTCAAAGTAGTTCTGTCTGTTTAGTCTGGTGTCGTGGTTTAACCTCAATCGGCAACTGAGCACCACGCAGCCCCTCGCTCACTCTCCCCCTGCCCCAGGTGGGATGGGGGAGAGAATTGGAAAAGCACAAGTGAGAAAAACTCGTGGGTTGAGATAAAAACAGTTTAATAATTGAAATAAAATGATAATATGATGATAATAATAATACACAAAGGAAGTGATACACAGTACAATTGCTCACCACCCACCGACTGATGCCCAGCGAGTCCCCGAGCAGCGGCCCCCCCCCGGCCAGCTTCCCCCAGTTTATGTACTGAGCATGATGTCACATGGTATGGAATGTTTCTTTGGCCAGTTTGGCTGTGCCCCCTCCCAGCTCCTTGTGCACCTCCAGCCTTCTCAGTTCGTAGAGCATGGAAAACTAAAAAGTCCTTGGCTAGTGTAAGCATTACCTAGCAACAACTAAAACATCGGTGCCTTATCAATTTTGTTCCCATCCTAAATCCAAAACACAGCACTGTACCAGCTACTAGGAAGGAAATTAACTCTATCCCTGCTGAAACCAGGACATTGAGGAAGGACATCCACTGCTTTTGTCTATTGAGCCAGTCTTCTCATTATACAAGAGCACCAAATCAGGTGCTGCTTGCCCTTACTAAACACATTATTGTTTTTTCCTAATTGCCTTCTTTTCCTTCATCTGCTTTGAAGTGATTTTCAGGGGGATGTCCTCCATAATCTTCCTAGGAACTGAAGTGAGACTGACTGGGCTATAGTTTCCAGTCTTCTCTTCTTGAAAGATGTTCATAGTCTCTTGTAGGGTCCTGCAAGTATGTCGTATTTGTCAATTTTGGGGTTGGGGAGGAGGAACATATTCCCCCACCCTCCCCTGAAACATTCTTCTAAAAATTCAAGGCCAAGTTGTTTCCTATATCCACTCTCCTTTCTTCCCCATAAGATATCCCATTGCCATGCAGTAAAACTAGTTTGGGTCCTGCAGTCCTACCACTGCTGAGGTATATAGGTATCAGCGAAACTCCAATTAGGAGATGTCATTGCTCACCTTTTTTGTACTATCAAAGAAATCACAAAGGCACCTAAGAATCTGCCACCTTTATTGCTTATTGTGAAGTGCAATGCTTGTTTCTGCAGCTACGTGTCACAATCCTCTCAGATAAAATCTAAAATGCTCCCCAGTTCATTTTTCTGATACCTACTGTTCAGACTTGCCCAGTCACCTGTCACTGAGAATAAAGTCATTATTATGGCATAAAGGACTCCTTAAGTCATTATGGCTCTCAATATGATGTAGTTCCAATGTACTGAAAGCCCAGTGTCAGTTTATTGGCTATAAACAAGATATAAGGTTTTCTTAATCACAAGCTTTGCCAAGGGACAAGTCACTCTTAATTTGTTGGTGGTCTCTGTAGGGACTGCCACTCTGAAATTGAGTTGGCTGTACTTGCTCTTCACTGACAGCTGATAAGAACTTTCATGATTCATGGTTTTGTCCTTGATTTGCTATACTTCACAGAAACCTGTCTGGGGGTCACCCAATTGTACAACTCTATCTTTTGAAGACATCATTTTTTCATGTCAACCTGTACTTCTCTTATTATTACTGTGACTTGTTGTTCAGTCAAGGAGGATCTCTGCTTGTTATACTGAAAATTCTGAGTTAATATTACCCAAGCTTTTTACTTTGGTTGACTACAGCTCATCAATAAAGTCATGAGTGGCCTATATCCACCCAATTTTATACCAGCCTGAGGAACTGAATTTGTTTGGGAAACACTTCTTCAGAAGGATGTGGGAAAGTTGATGAAGTAGCAACTGTTTTTCTGGGATTTGTTGTTGTTGTCGGTATCAATTGCATTTTCAGTTTTCCAAGTATTTCCTTCATGTAGTACATCAGTGTTCCACTGTGTCTGATCCTAATATTCATTCAAAGTGAATTTGGTTTGATCTGTTTTAACCGTATGGGCATCTTAAGTTGAGGAATGACATTTTTTTTTCCCTGAACAACTTGAAAATAATATAGTTGCAATTTACAGAGGCTAAGCAATTACTTCCAAAGCAGGTATGTTAAAGCAGATGACTTGCAAGAGACTTGAAAAGGAGAAAAATCTGTGTCTTCCTTTATCTCTTCATGCAGGAATTTACTCATGTTTCTTCATGGAGAACAACATTTATCCTTTGAGTCCCATTTTATAAACTTAAGGCAGACCTTACTTTTTGCTATTCTGTAGAAACCTGAGAACTATGCATGCACAAATAAAAATGAGGGGAAAAAAATGAGAGTTGGGGGGGGGGGCAAATCCATGTAT